ATTAATGGCCTTTTGTTTGCTTTTTTTAGCTTTACTTCTTTTGCCGTGGAAATATCTTCAAGTTCAGAGATTCTCTTTTTAAGCTTAGCAATCTTTTCTTATATAGCCTCTTGTTCATAAATAGTTGATTTGCTGGTGAAAGAACCATTTTCTGAATTGGAAGAATCGTTTGACATTTCATATTCTATTATATTCATAACTGCAGCATAAAGTATTTCATAAATTCATATTAAACGTAAATAAAAATAAAATAAAATAAAATAAAACAAATTACTTTAAACAAAGCCTTGCATAAAAAGGCTATATTATTTTATGTTCGCGAAAAGAAGAATAGGAAAATTTATAAGTGAGTAAATAATCAGTAAAATTTATACACATATATAAGTAATTATTACTACTACTTTACAGACTCTATCCCTTACATGGTATACATCAATTTTGCAAGAGCTGGGGTGTCTTCTGACCAAGATATGACTGAGCAATATAAAATAAAATCTTGGTCTTTATATCTGTCTCGACATTCGATTTCATCTAACCAAGTTGATTAATGTTTTATAAAAAATAAATAATCTAAGGGTTATAAAAAAAATATTTATATATATTTATATATATAAAGGATCAAATAATTTGAATTCTTACGTTCTAACTTCTTGAGTTCATTAATTACTGGGTAAAGAAAGGAGTTTAAATTGCCTGGTGCTGATAGACCCGGGATCAAAGCTCCAATTAATAGATTGTTTTGTTTCACCCGATCCTCTAGTGGAATGTTTGCATTTATGAATAAAATTATCCAACAATCATCAGTTTTTTGTTTAAAAATATTATAACCATCAAGCGAAGCTGTTAATGCAATATCCTGATAATCTATAAAATGCTCTTCTTTAACTAACTTTTGGTACCATCTACTATCAAATATATCACTATATGAGTTATATTGTAGATATTCTTGACTCATTACATAATTAATTCGATATTGTAATTCTAATGACCAATTGGGACTCTGGTATTGAATAATAAACCTTTTTTTTTAAAAAAAAATGCTATTCTTTTTACTTCAACTTGTTTTTTGGTATTCCTTTTATATCTCTCCTCTCCACATACTAGGTTTCCTGTAGGTTTTTCAAATTTCCAGTGAAAGCACAACAACTTTTCACACAACAATCAATCCATATTGGGTCAATTGATATTAGACTCGATAGTTTTTTAGTAGCACAATATAAAGATACATTTTGTTCACTAAAAGCATCCATTATTTTACGATACATTTTATTTATTATATAAGAATGAACTTTGATTTCCAAAAGTCTCAAAGCTTCTGAAAATTTGAGAGATAATTGAATAGTAGTATGATCTAAATAAATAAAAAAGTCTTAGAGAATTAAAGAAGATGCTTATGTATTTAAAAGATTAACACTTGGTTTCTGTAAACATTATGAAAAGTAAATATAATCATATTTATCTGTTCAAAATTATAGTCAAAATTAAAAAATTTGACATGTCAAATAGCATTCAAAGTATGCTATTCGACATATCAAATTTTTTAATTTGACTTATAAAATATTCATAACAAATTTAATGAGTTTTTTTTTTTATCAACAGGACATATTATCAGCAAGATCAAATGTGATTGCTAGTGATAAAAATATGCTTCCATTACCTTTTGCATCTGGCTGATACCATAGAAACAAACGGTCCTTGCTGGAGCACATGACAGTTCCCGATGGAATGATTATGTGGAAAGTTAAT